GTTGGATTTACTGGGTATCGGTTCTAACTGATTGACGTCTTATGACTTTCCTCACATCGATTTTACGTACACACGAATTGAGTATATTGACTAATGTCTATAGCCAGCGGACAGTCTATCGGTAAGCGTAAAGAAAATAGAGACGTAGAGAAGATGGAAGGAAAACTTTGTAAGATGATAGGAAGATGAAATAAGACAGAATGGGATAGAATATTATTTTTATATTTTCTTAATGAAAGTTCTTATCATAACATTTGCTTCGTTTAGGCATGTTTACAAACGCTGATGAAACTCTATAAAGGAATGAATACTAATTTCCTTCGAGCAATGTTGATGATCTGTTTTCATTAATTGTATATCAAAAGACACCTCGTCCTCTTCTAACCTTAATTAAGCCTTTCAAATTAAAGAAGTGCACGCAAAAATTTGATTTTTTTGTTATTTTATGCTATGCTTCTGTAATTTCAGAAAAATTCTTTCTCATATATATATATATATATATATATATATATATATTTATATATATATATATATATATATATATATATATATATATATATATAAATAATGAAATAATGTGACTTGATTTAAGGCATTTTTAACCTGTAATATAACATTTTGGAATATGATCAATTGATCAATAGATTGACGAGAAAAAATGTTACTATTTTAAAATCACATTTATTAATGATCACAAACATAAAGGGATGACACGAAAAAATCTCGCACAAAATTACAAAAGACAAAAGCGTACTTTTTTCCCTCCGAAGATCTCATCTATTTATTGTCATGGTCAACTGGAAGTTTTTAAAATAAAATGATTTCCGATAAAGGCTTTTCTGATTGGTCTGTACACGCGGGTGATGCACAATTGCATCATCCTGATTTAAAAATGCTAACCATTTAATTTATTTGATATATATAGTCGTGATTATAGTTCCCGTTAGGCAGGTTAAAATACAAATTAATCGTTGAGCGAAATTTTGAAGGGCTCAAGACCATTATGAATTAAAATAACTCGAGAGAATATATTTAAATGAACTAGTACACACACACACACAGTAGTTTAGGAGTATGATTGAAACTTGTAAGTTATTAAACTCTATTATTGTTTTTTTTACCATGGTGACAATATACTTTTCTCGAAGAAAGAGATTAATTTTGGTATATATTTAATCTTTAGTTATTAAATGTTTTTTGTCAATGAAACTTATACTTCATACTAAAATTGAACATTTTTTAGAATAAAATACATTACCACCTTTCATATTTTACTTAACTCACGCTGTATGAACATAAATCCCATTGTAGCAAGTTTTACGGGTTAGTATTTTTCACCTAATTTTTTTTGAAAAATAAGAAATAAATCAAAATACATATTTATAGTTTTTGTCTGTTTTTTAAGCACAAGAGATCACTAAGTATTGACATGCTTGTGAAATAGAGGTAAACAAATCCTGTTATAATCAAAGATATATTTACCGTAGATGTATGGGATTTTGAATATTCTTTCAATATGCTAGCATAAAAAACAATTATTATCTGTCTTATATGAATATAGAAATATATAAATCAAAAATTTTATTTGAATATCAAAATTCTTTCATATATTTTATTCGTAGGTATATGTTTAGTGTAGCTATTCATTACGTGTAGTAAAAAAAAATGGTCAGTAATTAAAATTTATATAAAAGCTTCTTATTTGATGGAACATTTGTATTGAACTTTTTTTTTGCTTTTGTTTTGTGATACAGCGCTCTAAAACTAAAATAACTCATCATAAATAAATAAGACATTCAACTATATTCTAAATAATTAATAATTAAACTTATTTCAATTTGGAAATAGCAAATCGTGTATATACAGATGAGATTCGAGTATTATGGAATAGTCGAGCAATATGGAATACCGAGGTTTTAGCTCTATTTGTAGCTGCTAATGCGTACGAAAATCTTTAACTACTGGAGAAAAACCCTCGTGAGAAGCATTGCAGTGAGAGTTGATCACTTGTTACCTTTCATTACAGAACAAAGCATATTTTGCGATTTTGAAAAGTTTTTTCCGGAAAGCTTTCAAACATTTTAACCCACTAGTACATATGTGACTTGAGCATTAAAGTTAAGTATAATGTATAATAAAAGATCTGTAGTTTGCTATAATGTGGTCGTTTGTTTTTTATCTGACATGTTTTGGCTTTCAGTAGAGTCCTTTTACAAGATGGCGTGTTGGGTATTGTGGAATACTGTAGGCTCACACACACTTTGATTGTACTGGAACGGATATAGTTTATATTTGTGACTTCTGTAAATAGACTCGAAACAAAAATTACTTTCACGCATTTTTAAAAAAAAATGGCTTTTATGGATAAAGATAACTATGTTTTATGAAGTCTTAATTAGTTTTCTATTGATTCAATTCACCTATTCCATATTATCCAACTATTACGTAAACCCTCCATTTATCATTTTTTTAAATAAATTTTTTTAACAAAATAAATATTAATTATTTTTGACAAGTGATAATTCCTTACAATCCCTTATAGTATATATTCATGATGATTTTGGAGATTTTTTTTAATCAAAAACCCTGTAAAGTTATTTTTAGAAATGTGTGTATAAATGGTATTCCATAATGTCCGACTCTCATCAATATTAACGGAGAGTTCACTCTAGAAAAAATTAATTTCGAGAAACTCTCCCTCCTTCTCAACATTTGAACTTGAAAATTTGTCGCGTCCCAATTTTATTACCACATATTTCACCCAATCTGTATATTGAAGTTAAATATTCTGTTTCGCAAACTCCTTCCTTAGAAATATGTACCGAAAGTCTTAAAATATGGTTAGTTACAATAATAGTGTCATAAAGTTACCTCGAAGAAGGGTCACGTAGTTTTGAACCTTGGACAAATGTTGATACCAAGTTACTTTCTGATGCATATTTATTATATTAGCTGTCTTGTGTTGCATGCCTTCTGCGTAATTTGAGATAGATGTACTGCTATATTCGGATAACTTACATGTATTTATTATTTATTTGTGATTTGGAATATTGTTTTAACTATGTGTGTTTATATTCTTTTCAAAATACTTTAAGTTAAAAGAATACTTAATTAATTTCATTAATTAATTTAGCTCATTGTTGTAGAAAACTACGTTACTTAACTCGTTATTTATTTCAAGAATTATTCATTTAGAATTCCTTCAATAATATACAAATAAAATACGCCTTCTTATTACAAACTTCACCCTTTCTTGTCATGTTCCAACCTAATATTATTTAGATCTAAAATGAACCTTATACAATTTCGTTTCAGAAGGGATGCCATGTTAATTGAGGGAGTACAGCAACCAAAGTGATGAAGGACATGCAAATGTACCACATTTAAGCAAAATTGTGGGGGTTGTCTTAATTCCACCTAAAACTAATTTGTGAACTTCAGGGGACTTGGGGTTCCGATAAAGCCTAACTTAAGGAGAATAATATTATTTTTCTGATTTATTAAAATCATACATCTATTTTCTTGACGTATTAAAATAATTCAAATTGTACTGTTTTAGTTATTTAGTATATTTTCTGTGTATGTTTGTGGTACAGGATTTATTACCTTTTAATGGATTTGTGTCTTAGCCCACTTATTTTTCTCAAAATTGTTTTCCTTTGTATTTAACATTCTCTTGAAGAATAATTATTAGAATTTTATATGAAAGTAATGTATTTTTTAAATATATATAATCTTATGTACCGTAAAATCCGGCGTATAACGCGCACCTATACTTGCAAGCTGCAATTTTTACTATTTTGGTATATTCGCCGTATAACGAGGACCTCTTTTTTTTACGAAGAGTACCTGAAATGTGTGTGTACTTGCGCAATGCTCTTATGCTTTGAAGTAATTATTTCGAGTTACTATCCCAAGCCTTAGAAAAAAATAGTATACTTCTACAATTACAACTCCTGAAGTTCATAAAGAATGCCATTCCCTTTAAATAAACAGTATTTTGATACATGTAGAAGTCTAATTTTTTTCTATGCTCATCATTTTCAATTCCTACTATTATTTCACTCTCCCTATATATAGATATATATATATATCAGTGGCGCACACAGGAATTTTTCAAGGGGGGGTCCGGGGTCGAAAGTTCACTATTCTTGTATTATGCTCCTTTTGATTTTGTCGATTTTCGGGAACAAAACACCGTAAAAAACTAATTATTGAATAAATAATTAGCATTAATTAATAAAAGTAATCATTAATAACAAATACTTAATAAAATTTTACGTACTATGTATTTAGAATTATAATCAATCGGAAAAAAATCAAGGGCTTTGGGGGGGTCTGGACCCCCAGGACCCCATCCTTGTGTGTGCCACTGATATATATATATATATATATATATATATATATATATATATATATATATATATATATGTAAATATGGATAATTAAATTAGATTAAAAATTAAATTCCCTATCTAGCACTTAGCTCATACTTTTCATTTGATCTTCAATTATCAAACTAATCATCCAATTATTTCTTCCGAACATATGGCCTAGCCAATAAACATGTCTAATTCCAGATCGTTAGATTTAATAGCCCTATATGTCAGAATTAATTTTCTAGTACACTCATAAAATCAGAGGTACTTATCACATCTGGCTTAAGTGGTAAAACACTTGGATTTTTTTTTCACTTTGGCATTCTTTTTCTCTCTGCCTCTCAGCGTCAGAGCTTGTATAGATTTCATCAAATAAAGATCCTTTTTAAAGTTAAGTCTGATTCTGACTCAAAACATGTCATATATATATATCTTGTTCAAATTTTCAATCGTTAATGAAATACTTTTTGTTCATCCATTCTAGTTCAAATACATTTTTTTAAAACTTGTAGTGGATCCTTTAACGTTGTTAATTCATTAATTAAATTAAAAATGAATAAATAGTAACAAGCACAAAAATAATAGTCCAACACCTTATATAAAAAGGAAAATATTTTTTGCGTCCTTGTAGCGCAAGTATAGCACGTTGGACTTTTCTAATCCAAAGATCGTGGGTTCGAATCCCACCTGGGATGGCTTAATGTTCGAGAATGTGATTTATTTTTAACTATACTATTTTATTAAAGTAATTAAATTAAATTAATGAATAAACAGTAACAAACAAAAATAATCCAACAAGAATGAGTGTAGAAAGGAAAATGGAAAATTGTAAGGAAAATCACACTTTTTGTATTTTGTTACTTAATATTATGGTTCTGTCATATGTATATACATATTTATATATCAATTGTAACTATTTAATAAAAAGTAACTCGAATAAAATTTTACTTATTTTGACCTAAGTATATATGAATTCACTTAATTCTTTTTATTAATTCTTAACTTGTCTTTCCAGCACTGATACTGCAACTTACGGAGTATTTAGCATCGTGAAGAGTTTCTGAACTAGTGATAAGCACAGCTTAAAATAAATACTTTGAAGGGTATCCACGTAGGAGGAAATATTTGAAACAATTCGCTTCCAGCTGCAATGCATACAGAGATAGGGGAAGAGTTCAAAAACACAGATATTTATATTTTTATGTTTTAACTATGCATCATCATTTTTTATTAACATAAAAATAAGCAAGATAAAATGTTACTCTATTCCTTTAACATAAATAAAAAACTAAATTTGTACATATATATGTAATGCACTGACCGTTATATACCCATCCACTTCACTGGGTATTCCATGATGTTATATGAATATATACAGTTTATATATAAATATAAACTGTATTGATATCTAAGTACAAGAACTAAGCGTTTGATTGTACTAAACAGCATTTTCTTCTAACTCTCACATCTTGATTTAAAAGATCAGAACTTCTAAATATAATAATTTTTTAATTTTTGAAGTAGAATTATCTTTTAAGCTCTCGTTATATATATATATATATATATATATATATATATATATATATATTGATTTTCATACCACACACACCACCACTACAATAACAATAATACTAAAATAATTTAAGGGTAAAGAAAATTAGCTTTATGCAATAAAAATAAATATATTACCCAAATAAAATTAAGCAACACACACAAGTTTAAAAATGTCAAAAATTAATTTGCTTCATATATTTTAAGAAGTTAGTCTTGTGGTTTTGTTCCTTATTACAAGCTAGTCACCGAGTTACAGAGAGCATTTCTATCTATGAAAAAGATACCTAAGTGCAAAAAACAAACAAACAAAAAAGACATCACTCTCTAGAGCTGTCAGTTCCTTTTTTTTTTAACTTAAACGAGTGATCCACACCTTTTTTCGAATCGAGACTCAGTTTGTTTCTTTTTTATTCTGAAATATTTTGACATTGTACGTTGTTACGGCGGCAACAAATAAATAATCCCATTATTAATCTTTGTTCCATTCAACTACAGAACACTGAAGTCAGGAAGTGTGATGTGATAAAGATGTTAAAATTATTCTTAATTAAACTTAATTACTCTTTCATTAAAAGAAAAAAATCAAACATATTTTTAATGGAAACATTCCGTAAGTCTCAGATGAGATTCCTTGATTAATTAAGTTATCCAAAAATAACACTTTCGATGTCAGACTTCGCCTTTTCGTTGGGGAAAAGAAGAAGGAATTCCTAAGATTTTTCTGCAAGTCCAATTAGTGCAGATGGAGCACTAGCTTTCATGGTAAAAATTCTTTTGAATATATATGCATTAATTTCAGAAGAAATACTTAATTCTATAAATTCTTTAAATGTTATGTTATATTTGTTCTACGAATGAAATTAAAAATGTCTTCCATTTGCTGCTTCTTTCAATTAAGTAATTCAATCTTCTTAATTTTTTTAATTATTGCTTTTTAAATAAATATTCTTCATTGTTATTATGATGATAGATAATTAAAATTTGTTTGTTCTCAAAGTCATTTAAGTTGAGGTAAAATTTTGCTTTGCTTGAGATATATTTACAGTAATTTTGTAATTTGATCTGATAGAATTTGCTTACTTATAACAGTTAAGTACTTCCAAAAATGTATTAGATTTTTTTATTATATGAAGATGAATCCCCAAGTCAACTTGAAATGACTTGATATTTTTAAATTTATTTCATTGATTTTTAAAGAAAAATAAGGTAAATTAAATTTTAGTTGTTTTTCCGAGAGAGAAGTCTTTGAAAAACTGCGCATTGTGTTAGGTTCCAATAATTTCTTTGCAACCTTTTTCCTAAGCATATACGTGGACGCGGTAACCTAGTGGTTATGGCAGTACTTCTCAAACTTTCAATATTTGCGACCCAATATATTCAACCATAATTTTCCTCGCGCCCCCTCCATACAAATAACAATGTATTGAATTCAATAATATACTCTTTGACGCTGAAGTTACAATACGACTTTAGCCTCTTAAGTGCCACTGCCGTATAGAAACGTCTCTCTCAGCCAAAGCATTAATTTCCCCGGACGTATATATACGTCTTTCCGAATTATGATCTTTTCTATACACGGCTATCCATAAATTTTTTACGAAGGCTTTGAAATGCAATAAATGAACCTTGGCAGTGATTGCAAAGGATTTACTTATTTTACACAGAGAATTTTCTTATATTTTCCTCCCCCCCGTACATCACATGCACTCACCTTCCTGGAAAACGGTAGCATTGGGGAGCGAATCATGTAACTTTTAATTGGCAGAAAAAGGATTAATTATAAACCGTACAAATTATCAAGATAAGTGTTAATTTTTGTATATAATTTTATATATGACAAGTCCATGGGGTCACTGGTAATTCTTAAAATTTTTCTTAATTTAGTATTGTTAAATTAACTGTAAAATACATTGTACACTAATGATACATTTATAAGTTTATTAAATCAGTGCAAATGTTAATTTTGTTTTCTATTAAGTCAGAATATATTTTGTTTACTTTCAGTAAATTAATCATTCTTAAAATAATCTTTTTTTTTCGATTTTTCAATGTGCTTGCACCCCCCTCATTAAGTTATCATGCCCCCTTAGGGGGACACGCCCCACAGTTTGAGAAACGCTGGGTTATGGCCTTGATTTCGTAGCCGAAGTTGGAGTTATTGTACCACTGAAGGTCTGACGTGCAGAGGGGGCCACTGCACGTTAAATCTTGCGAGGCTCAATATCCTCTCGTTTGTGTGTAGTTGGAAGAGGAAGACACCAGCTCAGATGTCATTCTCGTCACTTGACCAAGGTTCATAATTATAAGGTCCGTCGCCAGTAGCCTTTGTGTTGCTTTATAAAGCGCGCGCTGACGTTAAAAAAACCCCTCACTCCTAAACATGATCAAAAACATTAAATTTGAATTCTTCTCAAATTCAGATATTTCTATGTAAGTTTTTTCTCTCGTTTTTTGATTACACTTCTTAGAAAAGACAGCTATTTTTTAAAAATTACAGTTTATTACTCTAATACTACATTTCATCATATAAATAAATTTTAATGAAAATAATTATTTCAACTGTTTACGTTCGTAAAATAGTGAAATAATAATATCTCCCTGATTATCAGTCTCAAAATTTCCAAGATAATAATGATTTATAATCATAAAATTTATTTTTAATCATTTCAATTTGAAACGAAGCATATTTGAAAAGTCACCAAATAATAATAATTTTAGGTATACATACTCATAATCGCTAAAAAGGATTTCTAAATTGCCATGAATTGGAAATGCTACAAACTAAATAATTCACCATTCCCTTTAAACAGAGTCTGAGAGACCATTTCTCCTTTCTGCATTATTCAATTGAGCTTAGATCCTGATCATTTACACATCCCATTATCTTCTTCCTTTTATGCGAATTTGACATATGTTGCATCCATCCTACATATGGTATATTCTCTCTCTCTCTCTCTCTCTCTGTATATATATATATAAATGTATATACTGCTGGCTACACAAAATGCAACTCCCTGATGGAAGAATGCAAACCATATGAAATTTACAACATGCGTTGATGGCGATGAAATAATGAAATCATTAGCATAATAGCACAAACGCACATCGTGGGTGACCGTAGCGCCACCCGTAAGCCCTATATAAGGGGAAAACAAATTGGTGATTTGAATTTCTGCAAATTTTTTTTCGTGCGGGTTTTTTTTTTGCGTAAGTAGTTTACCTATGCCTCGTGTAAGAGTTCGAGTGCCTTTTGACCAAGTTTCTGAATTTGACCGAGGAAAAATAGTAGGGTATAGGGATTTCGAATTATCCTTAAAAAAATCGGTCAACTTTTTGGACGAAACTGTGATACGGATCTGTCATCGCTGAATGCAGGAGAAAAAGATGGACCTACGGGGCTGATCACACCCACCTCGTTGCACCACTGCCCTTTGATGACCGGTGGATTGCACGCATGACAGTGATGGATCACACAATCACATCACGAAACATAGCAAAGCAGATTCAGTCTGTTACGCATCAGTCGGTGTACGCTCGTACAATTCTACGCCATTTGCAGCAGATAGAATGTCCACAAGGCATCCATTTCTTCGTTTACCCTTGACTGAATACCACAGGGGTTTGCGCCGTCAATGTTGCGATAAAAAGGGACATGACAACGGAATGGAAGGACATTGTGTTTACTGACAAATCGTGCTTCTGCCTGCAACATCACGATGGTCGGATTCGAGTTTAGAGAAAGTGCCGTAAAGAGGCTGCTGAAGTTTTGCTTTACGCATCGCCTTACTGGTCCTGCACCCAGTATCAGGGTTCGAGATGGTATTGGATTTCACTGCCGCACCGCTCTAGTACGCATTGCCGGTACAATTGTAACGGATCTTTTCGCGAACATTCTACTAATCCGCTTGGGGTAAAATTATTCTTTGTATATAACTCTGTATGTTCTATTAAAAACTTTCTTCCAAAAGAAAAAGACTTAAAATATTTAAATAAATTGTTCTATTTAAGCATTGAAATTTTGGTACGCGATGTTAGTCGACTGATACTCGCTGGATGGTCGATTATTGATAATTGGAGAGTAAGTGATACAATTGAGCTTAAGATTTACGACCGGAGGTTGTACAAATGAGTAAGAGATTTG